CCCCCCCACTGCCCAGAGATGCCAGGAATTTGGCAAAGGTGAGGTAAGTGCCCTCTACTTGCTGTTACCCCGGCTTCCACGCATCTGCTCTGTATGAATCACTAAGATCTAGGGATGGGTGTCATTAAGATTTTAATGGTACTACTACTATTATTGATCTGGTACTTTCATGGTACTCTTATTGGTATGTTTTAATTACGAGAGAAAAAGAACAACAAAATTATCATTGCTTTATTATGTCATATATATATACTGTATATAAATGAACATTCTTGAGCTGCAAACTGCAACAACATTCTTTTGAACAAGACACCTATTATAGATTATGATTATTAAAATGCAAAATAACTTTACAGCAAAAGAAACGGCAATGTTTTGAACAGTGGAAAAAATAAATGCAGGACTTTTTCTTTGACTGTAATTTTACAGTTAAAATTTACCTTAGTTTGTTCAAATCACTAAATCCGTGATCTGAAACTGTGAATTTCAGAATGAAGCAATGCTCTGACCATTTTGAATTGAATTTATGAATGCACCCATAACAGTCAACTGGCTAATGGTTACTTCTAATCATTAGTCCATGTTCCTAATTTAGTTTACTCTGTGTCTGGGCTCCAGGCTGCTAGCAAACATAACATACTTGGTGCAATGACAGAAACTACGAGCCATGCTGTCAAAAACTGTGCATTTCTCCATATGCATATGATTGACTTTCGCTAGATGCTTCGACAGATTGCTTGTATTTCTGCCCTTGCATGCAAAAGAGTTGAGTTCTCTCTGCCATTATAACTAGAAGCAGGGTCTTTATGTATGTGCGCTGCATGTTGTTGTATGTTAGAGTGGGAGCGAGAGAGGGAGCAAGAGCCAGTGAGCTGCCCCATGCCCCACCCCTCACATGCACTCCAAGGGCGCTTTTCCACCGCACCAGGTACCGTACTTTCGGTACTTCCATAAATTACCGAAAGTATGGTACTACTTTTGTGTCGGTTTTTCACTGGCGTAAAAACTGGTACCGGCGCCAAATGACATCAGTGATCACCCCTGACTGACATCATCACAAAGCATGACGCGGTATTTCTTTTGCTGAATTCAAACATGTTGTTATGATCCTTCACTTTCTTGTAGTCCTGCTTAAGTTTTTTTGATTTTCAAGCGGCATTGTTTGTTGTTTCGCGTGTTGCTATTACGGCAAGTACTTTTTTATTCCGAGTCGTGTCATCCAGATCCTACTGGATCTGTTCATCCGACCATATGGCGATTAAAGCCTGTGTTTCCTCGTTTGTCCATCCTTCAGTTTTACTTTTTTTGTATTTTTGTTTCTACTGCTTTTTATTTTGTTTCTCGTTGTTCGCTGTGTGTATTTTGTGTTTCAGCGGCAGGCTATTTGCATAACCAATCGACAGCAAATACATTTGTAGCTGGTTTGGCACTTTCGGTACTGGAACTTTCGATACTGGTACTCGACCGGAAGTCAATGGAAAAGCGAAAGTACCGTACTTTGTGCGGTGGAAAAGCGCCCCAAGAGAGATCTCTCTTCTGGATTAAGAACAGCGAAAATGCAATCAGAAATGGAGCTGGTGACATAAAATATGCAAGAGAACTTTTATGCAGCAATAATAAATAGGAAATCTGTTTTCTTAATTTCTTCAGTACCGAATATGGAACTGATGACGTTGGAGCTTTTCGATACTGTGGTCTATAATAATTTAGCCTGGCTGGTGTGTTTGCTTGGGGTTTTCTTGGTTTGATAAAAACCACAGTTCTGGGTTCACAGTCCAGCACTATTTTGGTACAACAGGGAAGACAGAATGTGTTTTGAAATGAATTCTTTGTGTTCACCTATTTAATAATGAAGTCTATTACCAAGTATGATCGCATATCTTCAGCAATAAACAGTCCTATAGCCGGGTCTGAATTTCCTGGTAAAATTACCTAAGACGCCACAGGAAGACAAACTTGCAGAAGCAGTTTCTCCTGTGCGTCAGTCATGCATGTCTTGTCCTTTTCTCTCTGGTGTTTTTATGGAGAACTCAAAATGTTCCCAAACTGACGATTATGACTGACTTGAGTAACCAGCACTAGCTCACAGCTGAAATTAGCATGATTTTTTCCATGTTTGAACATCATCTTATGAATTTAGAATCTGCCCATTTCAACAAATGTATACATTAGTTTCACTGTGTGTACCAAATTTAAGATTATCCAAATGGTATGAAACACATAAGTGTAGCAGTCCAGCCCTATTGTCTGCACAACTTAACCATAGATCTCCAGTACATTTATAAACCCAGCAACTTGATAAATTTGCTGCCATTACACTGAAACTGTCAGCCGGGTTTATGTGCAGCATATGGGTGATGCCCTTAACATAGCTATGTGTAGAAAGCTACTCCAGCTTCCTCCCTCCTTGTTGGTTGGCATAGACATCCATGGCTTTTACCTCCTCACACACAAACATACTGAAGGTGTTAAGATCATTGTGAGGCTGTAGGATTTGTCTGGCACCTCATTATGCTAATGCTACATGCTCAAAAGGACCCACTTTTCGATTTCAGGTCGTAAGGAGTTCGAATGGAGACCGCTCATTCCAGCATGTGATAAATGAGGTAGGATGGCTGTTCCTTGATAACACTGTATAACGCAGCCATGGCCTGCTTACTATGATGGATGGTGAGTGAAAAAATCTGTATCAATCGCTCTGTAGCTGTTTTGGACCAAAGCCCAGTTCCTCATAGGGGTGCTATACCTGGGCCAAACGTGCGGCTGCTCTCCTCTCTAACCCTGGCTCCTCTCCCCTCCCTCTTGCCCGCCCCCTGCAGACGACCAAAGAGATGGTAGCGCGCTCCTGTGCCACACTCATCACACACCCTTTCCATGGTAACCCCCGCCCCCCCCACCATGATTACTGTCAACATTCAATAGGGGTCATGTGATCAACAGGGCAGCAAGATAGGCCTTGGTGATTCTTAGCAGATAGTTTGGGGGGGGGAGTTCCCAGGCAGTCTATGTCCTGTGGGCAGCCGCTTGCAGTTAGTTTGTTGCCATAGGGACGCTGAGAACACCTCCTTCTCTTTCAGTGATCACTTTGAGATGCATGGTGCAGTTCATTGGCAGGGAAACAAAATACTGGTCTGTATTTTATTTGTTTTCCCAGACGTTTGTTCATCCTGCAATAAATTATGAGCTTTAAATTATATATATATATATTTTTGTCTCCTTTTTTTTTGCAGTGGGATTATAGATTCTGTTTTCACAATCTACAAAGAAGAGGGGATTCTGGGATTCTTTGCGTATGTATATATTGTGAAAGTGAGGATAGAGTTGCTGAAATAGGCCCTTGCGCTCATACTAAACCCCTTCATAAAACATGAAATGGTGACGTATTTCTTTGAAAGGGAACTTGAAGATCAAATAAGTTGCAATTGTTTTTATCTTGTCCTACACAGTGGGCTCATCCCCCGTCTCCTTGGCGATGTGCTGTCGCTATGGATCTGTAACATGCTGGCCCACCTGATTAACACCTATGCCATTGATGATTCGGTGAGAGAGCTTCTCTCCTGTGCTGTTAAGGGGGTTTCAGGGTCTATCGTCATCTGTGTCGAGTGCAGATCACGGTGCCATGCCTCTACCCTGACATTAGGGGTGTAACGATACACCAAAGGCACGATTCGGTTCGGTTCACGGTTTTGGAGCCTCGGTTCGATTCGGTTCGGTTCACGGTTTTGGAGCCTCGGTTCGGTTCGGTTCGGTTCATGGTTTTGGCGCCTCGGTTCGGTTCGGTTCGGTTCACGGTTTTGGAGCCTC